ATGAGACACATGCTAACGGACAAGCTAACATTAATTTAAAAATTCAGCTGTGATCGATCATGCCGTAGGCTAAAAATAGGCTCTAATTTGCGTACAGTAAGGGGTTGTAACGCCCCTGGACTTGGACAGAGTTGTTTGAATGTGTGAACACTTTTTGGCGCGAGGACCTAGGGTGGAGATGGTGTAGTCGCGTGTCGGTGAAGTGGCCGGTGTCCCTTCCTCTCTCTTCCGCCGATCCCTTCCCCCTCGCTGTACCGTAACGTAACGTCCGTATCGCTCGTCTCCTCGCTACATCGGCAACCCCCTCGGCCCCTCCCTGCAGTTTCCCCCAGCGCTGCGCTCCCCACCGGTTTACTAGCTGGCACGTTGGCATCGGCTCTCCTCCCAGACAGGTTATTCTTCAGCTGTAACTCATCCCCCTGTATTGTTAACAGTTATTATACACATTTTCCTTGCTTATCTCGTTATGCATTACACTATTTCCATACTCGATCTGCCTTCTTCCTCGGTGTATGGATGAGTATCAGGAATTGTTAACAGTTCCGTTCAGGGTCTAACGCGGCCAGGATCTCTCATCTGCGTTTCCTTTCTCTGGTAAGTGCTACCCTTGACGTCCTCGGCCGCTACAGGGTATCTTATACAAATGTGAGACAAACGCTTTCACTCGATACAATATCTGCGTATTTATTCCATGATCCATGGATCTCGTACATGGTTACCATCTGTTGAGGCTCAGAAAATGTATTGTATACGGGCACGGCCTTCGACAACAGAATCGTTAAAGCCGTCATTTGGGATTTAAACACACGCAGTACGGGAAAAGTGTCCAGTGACATTCAGTAATATACGCAAACGCAGCTATAAATTAAGTCAAACCATCAAAAGAAAGATCGGATTATGCAGTACGGCAGTGCGATTGACAGGCGCCGCCAAAAAACAGACAGAAAGGAACATAAGAATGCGAATAACTGTGCCGAATATTATAGACACTGCAACAAAATGGGAAACTACATACAAGGCAGGCGGAATTACCATGGCAGTATACGTGTATCTTCGTGTGTACATTGAAATGCCGATTGCCATAAACATTTCGCCTCAGCTTTCTACAGGATTTGGATAGCACCTTTCCAAGACTGTTAGTGGTCTGCCGATTTGCAAAATTTCGTAATAAAAAATAAGTTAGTTGACTTCCCGCTTGTTATGCAGTTGAATTTTTCAAGTGCAAACATTTTCCATGCATCTGCCATAATCATTTCGTTTTGGTATCTAATTTAGTCCAATAAATTTCGCTGACTTTCAGTTTATTGTGGCAAAAAACATTATATTCATAGTCATCAGCTATGAATTAGTCGCACTATTTCACAAAAACTATGTCAAAAAGATGCAAGGCTATCTTTATAGCGCAGAAGGTAGCCACATTATTGAAAAGGACGCTATGACGGCATAATTTGAGGTGATAAAAGGCCTTGAAACAAGGTACTGAAAATCTCAGTAATCAAGAAGTCAGACACATGTCGGCCGATTTTTAAAACATCTGCATGAAACAGAAGAGGAAAATTTGAATCCCAGCTAGGGTTTCCGGTCAACTCTGCAGTCCTATCAATGGCACGTGTGACGTTTTAAAAGTTACCAGACAAATCATGGGGCTCATAACCGCTATATTCAAACCATGGCAGACGCAAACCCTGTTCATGGAATACATAAAAACGGCACTTTTGACAGGAATCCGATGAGAACATGATCACTCAGTTGTATATTTGCTCCAGGTTTGTGTACATAAGGATGTAAATAATCCGGCGCGGAGAGTATTCCAAAGCCAATCAAAATTTCGTGATTTCGGTCGACATTACTCTCGCTGTATTTCATTTAAAGAGATAAACGGCGTCTACTGAAAATATTGATTGTATGAATATATCGAAAACCTATTTAGGCTGACGGATAACTGCTAACCAGCCGCTCCGTCTGAGTTGCTTGACAAAAACCTCTAAAAATGGCAAACGTTGTGTCTATCACAAGGATATTTAAGCGGCGTAATGGATAACTTCCCGCATAATCATACTCTCTTGACGTCTCATAGTGCAAAAGTGATTTCATGCAGCTTACGGTGTCCAATTAGGAGGCAAACAATGTAGATGTGACAAGTCACTCCATTCGCCCGCCCACATGGTGGTTGAGACGCGCAACCCTCTATTCGTTTCCAAATCTCGCGTCTGACTCCTGAATCGATGCTCTTCCTAGCAGACACATCCCGGAAACCACCTCGACTGACGGAATAGATCAGATGAGAGTATAAGTTATGTGTCTCCACACCCGGTAATCCTGACTTCCATCATGCTCATCACTCCTCTTTGACTGAAAAAGTTCTACACAGAGAACGGCATGTAATGCCGTAGGTGCTCCAGGCTAACCCTAATCGTCTTCCCACTAAATTAAGCCATGAGTCATAGTAAAATTCGACAATAGCCTAGAATGTCCAAACAGTCCAAGTTAGGGAAGGCACCGCTCACCCACTCGCGGAAGAAGAGGTTAGAAAGGCCGACCTAAACGATTGCTCGCAAATCACGACCTCCACCAGCTGAGATTTATTCAAAGGACACAAAGGAGTCGGCAAATCAATAAACGGGAACAAACCCTCTTCTCCTGCCCTCGTACCTGACCAAAGCCAGTAGTGGGGAATCTGTTTGATCTGGCAGACTGGAAGGAGAACTTTCCGACTGCGCGATATAGAGTGCGTGACCTATCTCATGAAATGTTGGCTGAAATTCTGAAATGCGTTTTCGATTAGGAAGGATTACTTGGTCGCGGTTGTGATACTGATTATCTTAAGCCATACTCTTATATCATTTTGGACTCGGCATGATGTCGGCTTTTAAATGCATTTCTTTTCAATCTCCTGTAGGAAGCGTGCTTGGTAAAAAAATGACTACTTAAGTAGTATGTACTTTTCCCATAGATTTTCGATGGTCTTGGAAATTCAAATATATTTTATAGAAACCGCAAACAAAAATATGCTTTCTTTTAGTCGATCAATAGAGAATCACGTCTTCTTTATATTTTATACTTAAGGTAGGAGTATAATTATGCTTTAAAAAAGTTTCTAATTATGAAACTTTTTAAGACCGCGATAGATTCATTCACATATCATCGTACCTGGCCGTTTACCACTGCTCCTCATGAAATGTACAACATGGTCCGCATCCGTTGCAAAATTTTATGGACCTGTATGATATCTCTTTAATGACATAGAAAACTATGACATTTTCTTTACGCGGAACGCATGCAACTTGTAGAGTGTAATCACTGAGCGCTAATGCAACGAATGATCAGGCTCCAAATTATTCGACAATTAGAAAACTTTTTTGAAACCTAATTATACTCCTTCCTTAAGTATAAAATATAAAGAAGACATGATTCTCTATTGATTGACTAAGAGAATGCATATTTTTGTTTATGGTTTCTATAAACTATATTTGAATTTCCAAGACCATCGAAAATCTATGGGAAAAATGCATGCTACATAAGTAGTCATTTTTTACCGAGCACGCTTTCTACAGGAGATTGAAAAGAAGTGCATTTAAAAGCCGACATCCTGCCAAGCCTGAAATGTTATAAGAGTATGCCGCAAAATAAGCAGCATTACAAACGCGACCAAGTAATCCTTCCTAATCGAAAGCGCATTTCAGAATTTCAGCCAACATTTCATGAGATAGGTCACGCACTGAATGTTGCGATCGTTGGGACACTATTGTCGCTGTTTGCAATCTCTCACTTCGGGACGACACGGCAATCCACAGTTAAGGCATTAGTCAGCGCACATCGGGAATATTTTTTCAGTTGTGACCACGTTTAGGAGTGGGACAGTGAAATTTATTCTGTCCACACCCCTTTCCCTCATACCAATATTCCGACACGCTGGGCTTTTCCACAATGATCTGGGTCGCTTATTGGTCGACTGTCTGCGACCATGTCCTCATTCGGCAGACGTCAGTGCTTCTTCCCTATGTTCCTATGCGGACTTGAAGAGCCCGCTTAAGGTCAGCGACCCTGTTCACCCGCGTTGTTAACAGTTTGCAGTCCTTAAAACCGTAAAGCGTCAGTCAAATGACTTGTCGGCTTGGTCTAACAACTATCCACTGCGGAACGCCTCCGAAAACTCAAGCTACCCACATCCACCATGTGCGTCTCCGCACTGATATAATACTACCGAGCTAAATACCTCCTGAAATTGACGATGCCAACCCAGTGGCCTTCTTCCGATTTCGTCACACGCAAAAACACTGATACAGTCGTTTTAAGTCCTATAAAACATCTAGGAAGTACATATACAATCAAGGCTAGTCGGTCCCGTGCATATACTGCCAAGAGTTATTTGCAACATCCACGTGCTCACCGTTTAAAAGGCCACTCGACCATCTCCCCCACATCCCTCCCCTTCCGAGACTTCCATTCACCTACAACGCCAACGTATATCGTAGGCCCTGTACATATCGCTGTCTAAAATTGTTTCAAATTTCATCCAAAGAATAAAACAAATCTTCGTCTTCTTTATGTCTTTTTGGGCTTTTAGTAGTCCACTTGCCTATTCCTCCAACTATTCAAGAAGTCGTATGAGTTAGGCCAGCTGATGCGAACACTAATAAACTATCTTGCCTACCAGCTCAATTCGACTGTGCTTGATGGGCTTATACGTATTCTTCTCCTGTCCGAGAAATAATTGCCCGACTCCCTCCTCAGTTTATCTTTCCACTGTGTCAGTTTCCATCTATACCTCGACGCAGCTTCCTCTGCAGAATAGGTTTGGAATTTGACCACCTAGGATCGAAATGCTTCCCCAACTTAGACACCTCTTGCGCTGACGGACGGCTGATTCTCGTGCTCTTTAGTGTGAACAATCAGTAATGCTTCTTGTTCTCTATTGTCAAATGGGTTTGTGAATGCGCCAAATCGTTCCTACCCGTGTTGGTGATTGCAAATTTGTAGATTGCAGCCTGTTTGTTTTAATGCTTATCACTGCGCCTGTCCGCACCGCGCTCTCCACGCCACTCTGCTCGACACGCTGTGTGCTGCCGGTGGGTGCTGTTGACCTTGTTTAGCCTTAGCTGCAATTTCATGATGACAATTTCTTTCCCCAAATGAAGTGTGATTAACTTGATTCCCTGAAGTTTTGTATCTTACAGCAAGCCATTGCCCATACTCCCTGCTAACTCCAGTTAATTCCGATTTCAGTTTGGTCGGAACTTCGCCCATCTTCGCGTGTTGGTCGCCGAACGAAGTTTGCCTTTAGGGGAACGTGCTAGTCGCGCCCTCACAGTTTCCTGGCCTAGGAACTCGTCCGTGGTCTGCGGTAAGCATTCGCTGATGACATCTAACACCAAATCCAATGAGTTGTGATTTCTGCATCACCAACTGAATCCTATGTAACTCCCACACTCTTTGTCGTTTCAGGAATCGTGAACAACCGGCGTACATTCACGGGTGACTAGGTAAATGATGTCTATCTTTCGGGTCTTAATCCTGCTGTGAATTCTTTACTGATCCACATTTCGGAATTTGCTTGCTTCTTCTGGCTTACCAGGAGTCTTGTGCTTTGCAGGTCTGAGAAATCTCCCCGTAGGAGTCACTCATCCGCGCTGCCAGGTGAGTTTTGTGATGAGAAGATCCAACTTTGACTCGTGAAATATTTATGAGCTTTTTAACCCTGACCTTGTCCCGCATCGTTACACGGGCTTTTGTCTTCCAGGAGACTGAGCCGCTGGACTTGACGCGTCTGGTGGATGTGTGGGTGAGTCTTTTAACACTTCTGATGACATTCACGATGGTCTTCGTACAGTGCTGTGACGAACCCTTCTATACTGACGTGTTGTAACCGTTATTCGTATCTTCTTTTAGTGGAGGCCCTTGGACACCGGTGGTACTGGTTTGCTATTATGTGAATAAAACCCATCTTCACCCCGCCATTCTGTTTAGTCTTTTGCGCGAGAAGTGGTTAGTCCTGTAACTTTAAGGTTCTCTGGGTCGGTTGGTGTCGAGTGAGTGTTCGTGCTTGTGCGAGATTCATCCATTCGCCTGGCTGTTCGGTTTTCAATCTTATCGCACGTGACTGTCGTGTCGTATGCACTGGCATTGTCGTCCATCAAGGACCACGGCGGGGGGTGGCTCGGTTGCCGTGTATGGGACGTATTTATGGCAAGTAGCTCTTGTCGGTATTTCCTGTTGCGCACGGGAAGTGCCTGGGTGGCTCAGATTTTCGTTTTATGTGAGACTACGGTGTTGCGTCGCCTTGGTTGCCTGGTCAGCGTCTAGGTTGTGGCGCACATGGACGTTCCGGTCCGCCTGGGTGACTGCGTAGGCCTCGACCGCCTTCCCATTAAAACGAGCCTGTTCCCGTCAGTGGGGTCGACGTACGTCATAAGGGGTGCGTCGTGTGGCTGCCTTGGTTTCATTGACTAGGTGGCTTGCCTCCTGGTGCGGACAATGACGGTTGCCGGTACTCTTGGTCGACTACGGCACCGTTAGGCGTGGTGGTCCGTGGCGTCAGTCTTTGTTTTCCATACCACGCTAGCTGTGCAGAGCGTCGCATAGACTGCGTCATCCGGCTGGTGGTAGGTGTGGTGGGACCTGACACTGGGTGCCTGGGGTGACGGACTTGAGGGCTTGTGTGGGCGTGCGTTGTGCCCCAAACCTCCGGTGACCGGCGTACCAGCCTTCTGATCAATTGGCGCAAGAACTAGTGTCACAGGTGGAGACCAGTTGCCGTGTTAGATGATCGAACTTTAGGATTCCGTTGCAATTCTCCTCTGGGGCGAACGTTAAAGTGGACTTCCGGGCGACCTGGTGTCATTTCACATCTTGTGACCAGCACCAACGCCGGTTCAGCAGTTCTCAGAGCCTGCGGTGTAGTCGCTGTGAGATGGTTCGGCAACGCGAGGTCACCCTAATCAAACGCCAGGAAAGACACAGTTGCCCGAACGGTATTTACTGCAGCAAGAAGGCGCAAATGGGGTCAAGCTGGCGGTGGCAGCAATCGTCCTTGCAGGCCGAGTGCTAGCTGTCTGTGTTGTTGGCCGCGTGGATGTGACAGAGCTTTGTCCGATTGCGGCCACTGGATGGAGACAGACACGTCGCTGGACGGTATGGTGTTGGTGACCGGAATGCTGAGTCGTACGCACGCAAGAAGTGATTAATAAATGGTGGGCGGAATGAATGCAGCATGGGTGAGCGGTCGCGTCGACGACCACGAAGGCAGGCTGTCACGGTGTAACGAATCGGTGCGGCTCATCCTCTTCGACCGGTGACTGGGTTCTCGACAATCGTTTTGTTGGAGTTCCGTTTGCAAAAACCCAAAGCCGGCGGTTTAGGCTGACGTTGCCCATCCAATCAGCCTAGACCATACGACATACTCTGCATTGTCAACAGTCCTCCGCGGTCATCAGGACGTACAGCCGGGCCGCACCATTTCTGATCCTGACCTCTATTCTGCTGGCACGGCCCTGTTTGGGAAATCCTCCCAGGAAATGCAGTGTGCCCTTAATTGCATAACCGTTGTTCCCACTCTCCACCTCAGATAGTTCCGGCTATGCCGATAAATCAATTATGCTATTCAACTATTTTGCACAACAACATAATAGTCCTCCCCGAGGTGACGAGAGGCGTGTGTTTTGTCGCCGTAATGGCCAACCGGAGTGCCACCCAGCCCGAGTCTTTGATTCCAGCAGAATAATTGCCGATAACGTGGCCAGTGGTTGCAGACTGCACTGATTCGTTACACTGGCAGTATACCCTCGCGGTCGTCAACGTGACTGCTCACCCATGATGCCTTCGGTCCGCCCTCCACTTGCCAATTACCGCTTCAGCCGAGTGGATTGCATGCGGGGGTTATCCTCTTACCAATCAGTCGGTAGCATAGGCGAACCGAGTTAAACAGAACACAAGCCTCTCACCACCTAGGGGGGGGATTATCTTCCTCTTGTTTGAAAGAGTTGAATAGCATGCTTGAGTTATCAGTATGACCGAAATTATCAGAGAAGAGGTGACGCGCAACCTTAGAAGGCTATACGACTCGGCTATGTCAGACACTTCAACAACGACTGCGGGTCACTCATTGGGCACTGACTATTGCTCGATCCTCCGTTGCACTCATAAAAGGGCATTACCGGCAGCCACTCCCTTGGCGAAACGGTGCACTAAATTTACCGGATAATTTTAAGTTGGCGCGTAAACGGCCAATTTGTCTCAAGAGTAATTTGGGCCAAGAGCCCGAATTACTTCGGAAAGATGAGCTAACACTCCGCTCGTACATGGAGAGGCGATACATCGGGCGCACTGACGGCAACAAAACGTGTTCAGTTCCGAGACACTGGTACCTACCTCACCACCCCGTTGTCAATTCCAGGAAACCATAGAAAAAGAACTGCGTTGTATTTTACTGTGGCGCCAAGTGCCGGGGTGTGTTTCTGAATGAAAATCTTTATCGAGGACCTGGCCTAAACGCTAGGTTAGTGTGTTGTTGGGTTCCCGACTTGAGCGAATTGCAGTGACAGGGGATATAGAGGAAATGTTCCTGGAAATGAAAGTGGACTCGACCTGCTCTGAAATGCTCACGATGAAAAAGTGGTGAGTTTGAATGAGAACCAGCTGAGTTTCAGTGGACATCTCACCCGTTCGGATTGACTTCTTCGCCCTTAAGTGCCACTTTTGCCACAAAAACTGCTGAAGACTTCGGCTCATCCTACTCTGTATCAACTTGCAGAGCAGCTCACCAGAGTATTATGTTAATGATTGTCTGACTTCGCTTCGTGATGCCGATTGCGCCAAACACTTTGTGGACGGGATTTGTAAACTCTCTCGAGGTGGCTTTCGTATGCGGAACTGGGCACCTAATGGCCGCCGCGTGCCCTCAGTCGTCAATGCGACCGAACGTCCTTCTGGTATGCGAGGTGTCGCCGCCAATCGCCTACTGGACCGATATTCTGGTGATAAAATTAATTACGCCCCCAAAACGGTTCACTTGTTGGAGTATTCTGTTTTGTTAGTCCTCGCTTAATGACCCTCGGGGTATACCAGGGAATGTTGCCGCATTACTTACATAAAAACGGACCAAGTTGGGATGAGCAGCCACACGGCATCGAGCTCCCGTTGGAAGAACCTGATTTATAATTTACGGAGCCCGAGAGATTTTCAGTTCGTATGATATCTAAGGCCCAGAGACATCGGCGATCCGATTCGCGATACATCGCAAGTAGCATACAGTGCGGCAATTGTTCGCCTCATAAGGGGCAAAGGAAGACGACATAGTTAACCAGCTTATTCGACAGCACGCGTCGCACCTCCTCAAAAGCTTTCTTTACATTTCGTGTTCGCAGCTGCAACTGTGGCTGTCCCCATCCGGTCAAGCACCGATAGGTACCCGACAGACAGTCAGACATGATTCGCCCGTAATTCTTCCGCGGCGATGCCTGCGTTGGGGCGCAAACCCAGCGCAGTCCACAACTTTTAGACCGACCGGACAGCGTGTGGGCGGAACGCAGACATGTCAGTCACGTGCGATAACACTGAAGGCCGAACAGGGAGGCCCACGGACAAATCTCACACAAGCACGAACACTCACTGGACACCAACCGACCCAGAGAACCTTAGAGTTACAGAACCAACCACTGCTCGCGCAAAAGACTAGACAGAATGGCGGGGTGAAGATGGGTTTTATTCTCATAATAACAAACCAGTACCATCGGTGTCCAAGGGCCTCCACTAAAAGAAGAGACGAGCAACGGTTACAACACTTCAGTACAGAAGGGTTCGTCACAGCACTGTACGAAGACCATCGTGAATGTCATCAGAAGTGTTAAAAGACTCACCCACACATCCACCAGACGCGTCAAGTCCAGCGGCTCAGTCTCCTGAAAGACAAAAGTCCGTGTAACGATGCGGGACAAGGTCAGGGTTAAAAAGCTCATAAATATTTCACGAGTCAAGTTGGATCTTCTCATCACAAAACTCACCTGGCAGCGCGGATGAGTGACGCCTACGGGGAGATTTCTCAGACCTGAAAACCACAAGACTTCCGGTAAGCCAGAAGAGGCAAGCAAATTGCGAAATTTGGATCAGTAAAGTATTCACAGCAGGATTAAGACCCGAAAGATAAACATCATTTACCTAGTCACCCGTGAATGTACGCCGGTTGTCCACGATTCCTGAAACGACAAAGAGTGGGAGTTACATAGGATTCAGTTGGTGATGCAGAAATCACAACTCATTGGATTTGGTGTTAGATGTCATCAGCGGGTGCTTACCGCAGACCACGGACGAGTCCCTAGGCCAGGAAACTGTGAGGGCGCGACTAGCACGTTCCCCTAAAGGCAAACTTTGTTCGGCGACCAACACGCGAAGATGGGCGAAGCTCCGACCAAACTGGAATCGGAATTAACTGCAATTAGCAGGGAGTATGGGCAATGGCTTGCTGTAAGATACAAAACTTCAGGGAATCAAGTTAATCACACTTCATTTGGGGAAAGAAATTGTCATCATGAAATTGCAGCTAAGGCTAAACAAGGTCAACAGCACCCACCGGCAGCACACAGCGTGTCGAGCAGAGTGGCGTGGAGAGCGCGGTGCGGACAGGCGCAGTGATAAGCATTAAAACAAACAGGCTGCAATCTACAAATTTGCAATCACCAACACGGGTAGGAACGATTTGGCGCATTCACAAACCCATTTGACAATAGAGAACAAGAAGCATTACTGATTGTTCACACTAAAGAGCACGAGAATCAGCCGTCCGTCAGCGCAAGAGGTGTCTAAGTTGGGGAAGCATTTCGATCCTAGGTGGTCAAATTCCAAACCTATTCTGCAGAGGAAGCTGCGTCGAGGTATAGATGGAAACTGACACAGTGGAAAGATAAACTGAGGAGGGAGTCGGGCAATTATTTCTCGGACAGGAGAAGAATACGTATAAGCCCATCAAGCACAGTCGAATTGAGCTGGTAGGCAAGATAGTTTATTAGTGTTCGCATCAGCTGGCGTAACTCATACGACTTCTTGAATAGTTGGAGGAATAGGCAAGTGGACTACTAAAAGCCCAAAAAGACATAAAGAAGACGAAGATTTGTTTTATTCTTTGAATGAAATTTGAAACAATTTTAGACAGCGATATGTACAGGGCCTACGATATACGTAGGCGTTGTAGGTGAATGGAAGTCTGGGGAGGGGAGGGATGTTGGGGAGATGGTCGAGTGGACTTTTAGACGGTGAGCACGTGGATGTTGCAAATAACTCTTGGCATTATATGCACGGGACCGACTAGTCTTGAGTGAATATGGACTTCCTAGAGGTTTTATAGGACTTAAAACGACTGTATCAGTGGTTTTGCGTGTGGCGACATCAGAGGAAGGCCACTGGGTTGGCATAGTCAATTTCAGGAGGTATTTAGCTCGGTAGTATTATATCAGTGCGGAGACGCACATGGTGGATGTGGGTAGCTTGAGTTTTCGGAGGCGTTCCGCAGTGGATAGATGTTAGACCAAGCCGACAAGTCATTTAACTGACGCTTTACGGCTTTAGGGAATGCAAGCTGTTGACAACGCAGGCGAACACGGTCGCTGAACTTAAGCAGGCTCTTCAACTCCAGATAGGAACATAGAGAAGAAGCACTGACGTCTGCCGAATGAGGACATGGTCGCAGACAGACGAACAATAAGCGACCGAGATCATTGTGGAAAAGCGCAACGTGTCGGGATATTGGTATGAGGGAAAGGGGTGTGGACAAAATAAATTCCACTGTCCCACTCCTAAACGTGGTCAGAACTGAAAAAATATCCCCGCTGTACGCGGACAAATGCGTTAATTGTGGATTGCCTTTTCGCCCAGAATTAAGTGATTGCAAACATCGGCAATACTGTCACAATTATTTTGCGCCCAAATTGGGGTATATAGACTTGGCTGCCACGTCGCAATTACTGTCGCTGGTATTGACAATGAAACCGTACATACAGAATCAGCTTCTGCATTTTACACGTGTCGAAATTCGTCAGGAAACTGAATCAATCAGTACAGTTCAACTGACTACGCAGCCATTTTGCGATTAAATATAGTCCAGGAAAAATGTTCAAAATGTTTCAAGATCTGACTTTATCTGAAGTCTTTGAGTCCCGCAAAAGATCGAGTACTTTCTTGATCAAATCCATAAAATGTGTCAATTTTTAAGTGTCTTTGAACGAATATAATAATTATTTGCTCACTGAGTCTTAAATAATTATCCTCCTTCATCGAATACAACCCGAAATATTAGTTTTAACCCCGAAGAAAATGAACATATCTACACCCTTATCTTAATTTCTATGGACTCTTAGAAAGGTAATAGTAACGGTATGACCAGTTCGGGCATTTCGTTAGACGGAAAGTTAAGTGAGACGACCTTCGCATCCAAGATGTTCACTTGCTTTCATTACGTCCCAAACCAATGACCAGCAAAGTCCGCCAAAAGCGCAATTACGGAGAGGAGTGTGGGATACGAGAAATTTTTCGGCCAAAGAGGAGTGATGAGCATGATGGAGGTCAGGATTACCGGGTGTGGAGACACACAACGTATACTCTCATCTGATCTATTCCGTCAGTCGAGGTGGTTACCGGGATGTTTACGCTGGGCAGAGCATCGATTCAGGAGTCAGACGCGAGAGTCGGATACGAATAGAGGGTTGCGCGTCTCAACGACCATGTGGGAGGGCGAATGGAGTGACTTGTCACTCTACATTTTTTGCCTCCTAATTGGACACCCTACGCTGCATTAAATCAGTTATGCACTACGAGATGTCAAGAGAGTATGATTATGCTGGAAGTTATCCATTTCGCTGCTGAAGTATCCTTGTGATAGACACAACGTTTGCCATTTTTAGAGGTTTTTGTCAAGCAACTCAGAATGAGCGGCTGGTTAGCAGTTATCCGTCAATCTGAGTCGGTTTTTGAAATGCTCATACAATCGATATTTTCAATAGACGCCGTTTACCTCTTTAAATGAAATACAGCGAGAGTAATGTCGACCGAAATCACGAAATTTTGATTGGCTTTGGAATACTCTCCTCGCCGGATTATTTACATCCCTAAGTACACAAACCTGGAGCAAATCTAGAACTGAGTGATTATATTTTTATCGGATTCCTGTCAAAAGTTGTGTTTTTTATGTATTCCATGAACAGGGTTTACGTCTGTCATGGTTTGAATATAGCGGTTATGAGCCCCATGATTTGTCTGGTAACTTTTAAAACGTCACACGTGCCATTGATAGGACTGCAGAGTTGACCGGAAACCCTAGCTGGGATTCAAATTTTCCTCTTCTGTTTCATGCAGATATTTTAAAAATCGGCCGACATGTATCCGACGTCTTGGTTACTGAGATTTTCAGTACTTTTATCACCTCAAATTATGCCGTCATAGCGTCCTTTTCAATAATGTGGCTAACTTCTGTGCTATAAAGATAGCCCTGCACCACTTTGACATAGTTTTTGTGAAATAGTGCGACTAAGTCATAGCTGATGACTATGAATATAATGTTTTTTGCCACAATAAACTGAAAGTCAGCGAAATTTATTGGACTAAATTAGATACCAAGACGAAATAATTATGGCAGATGTATGGAAAATGTTTGCACTTAAAAAATGTAACTGCATAACAAGCGGACAGTCGGTTGACTTATTTTTCATTGCGAAATTTTGCAAATCGGCAGACCACTAATAGTCTTTGAAAAGTGCTATCCAAATCCTGTAAAATGCTGAGGCGAAATGTTAATGACAGTCGGCATTTCAATGTACGCACGAAGAGACTCTTATTTTACTATGACAATTCCGCCTGCCTTGTATGTTTTTTATTTTATGGATTTCATTTGACAAGATAAGAATCTAGAAGCAAATATCAACAACGTATTCTTTAAGAAAATTTGCACTCCATGTCGCAATCTCCTCGCGTGCGGCGGAGGTGTTGCTCCCCCTTTGATGAAGGAATTGCCTGACATCCGTGAATTTATAATTCCGGCGTAATTCAGTGCGGTTGCAATTGGCTGAAGTAATCTGTTGTCTACATCGCGTCTAGGTTTTTTCCGACACAATCTAGGGAACCTTAGTTTTGGTCACTTTCCTTCATAGGATCCGATGATCCAACCATGTTTATATAGAATGAGCGAACCAGTTACATTGACCTACTGTTGTTAGATGACCTCTCTAAGACAGATGAGGCTACACCAGTGAAGCTCGAGAAATGTTTCAGTACAACAGAGACGAAGATCACGACGCATTTAAAACAGCCTCGCTGGATCAGTTCTGGTGTTAGCAGTTGGCGATTTTTTGACACGCTTGGATTCCAGGGGGTCCTCAAATATACTTTCATGCTGAGCCCGTCTATGCGCATCGGTATTATTTTGCGCCCAAATTGGGGTATCTAGACTTGGCTGCCACGTCGCAATTACTGTCGCTGGTATTGACAATGAAACCGTACATACAGAATCAGCTTCTGCATTTTACACGTGTCGAAATTCGTCAGGAAACTGAATCAATCAGTACAGTTCAACTGACTACGCAGCCATTTTGCGATTAAATATAGTCCAGGAAAAATGTTCAAAATGTTTCAAGATCTGACTTTATCTGAAGTCTTTGAGTCCCGCAAAAGATCGAGTACTTTCTTGATCAAATCCATAAAATGTGTCAATTTTTAAGTGTCTTTGAACGAATATAATAATTATTTGCTCACTGAGTCTTAAATAATTATCCTCCTTCATCGAATACAACCCGAAATATTAGTTTTAAACCCGAAGAAAATGAACATATCTACACCCTTATCTTAATTTCTATGGACTCTTAGAAAGGTAATAGTAACGGTATGACCAGTTCGGGCATTTCGTTAGAAGGAAAGTTAAGTGAGACGACCTTCGCATCCAAGATGTTCACTTGCTTTCATTACGTCCCAAACCAATGACCAGCAAAGTCCGCCAAAAGCGCAATTACGGAGAGGAGTGCGGGATACGAGAATTGACCCTGCGTTATGTATGTCTATATCCCAATCGAAGTCGAAAAAATCAAGAACGTGCTTGCATACTTAAGAACGCTTGTGCAGTAGAAAACTGATGACTTGAAGTAGATTGCCATTGTTGGAGTCAAAAAGACGCAGTGTATGATGTAGAGAATCCAAAATAATGCAGTCTTGAGAGAGCATCAAAGCACGGCTAACGACACAGAAAGTACAGACGAACGTACCAGTAACAGTAGAATGACTGCAGCGAAGGCTCGGATAAAGGCGGACTCGATTTCTAGGCAAGACGGCCTCAGCGATGGCAAAAATATTACCTGTCACTGTTGCCACCTCATCTGCTCCATTTGACGGAAATGACGGAGTTTTCCTTTGTGCCAAGAGATTATATAACTAGATCGCCCAACACAACGTTGCCCTCGTGTTGTCTAAACTACCTCGACTCTCTACAGAGCACATAATTTGGTGCGAAGTCGGGAACTCGTGGTTAGGGAGATGGGAAGACGTTATTGCAGGAGTCCGGAGTCCCAATAAACCTTGGTGTGGGCCTCGGGACATTTATTAGACAACAAAAAATCGAAGCAAACCGACAATTCTGTAAACCGCCCTTGTCCTCATACACAGAATTCACCAAAAAATCAAAGTAAAGAGCATTGAAACCACCACGGGCGTCTGGTTGTTAATCGCTTGTCTGCACCGGATGCACTCCGACATGTCGGACGTGTATCAGAGGAACATACTCACCTCCACAGCACCAAACTATACTCGCCGCACACGACTCCACTGTCCAAACTGCACCCTCACATTTATTCACCGCATGGGTCTATTAGGCCACATGCAAGTCCACGCAAACCTGCGGTAGACGACCGCCGACAAAACCAAACCACCAAATTCTCCCTCACCAGTATGTCACCGCACATCAATATCACCCATCGCAATCACCCAACTGTTACCTCGCACGCAAGTAGGAAGTGTGCGTCTCGGCTACTTCTCCATGCTGCGACCCAGATGCATGTGTGAACGGAGTATGAGACAAAGACGGCGCAACGAACGCCGTGGCTAGGAAGGCCGCCGCCACTGCCACTGCCGAGAACGCCTCCGCGGAGAACCGCTGGTGTCAGCTGCGAGACACGGCCCAGTCGACGGCGCTCGCCGTCCTCGGTTGCGCTCCCCGCCAACACCAGGACTGGTTCGACGATAACGACGCCATCAGAAATCTGCTTGCTGAGAAAAACCGCCTACACAAAGCCTACGCAGATCACCCCACTGATGCCACCAAAGCTGCCTTCTACCGCAGTCGCCGCCAACTGCAGCAACGACTGCACGAGATGCAGGACGCCTGGACTGCTCGCAAAGCTGAGGAGATCCAAGGGTACGCAGACCGCAACGAATGGAAGAACTTCTTCTCTGCGATCAAAGCTGTCTACGGTCCGCCGACGAAGGGCACCGCTCCTCTCCTCAACGCCGACGGGAACACTCTCCTGACTGAGAAGACGCAAATCCTGCAGCGATGGGCCGAGCATTTTCGAGGCGTCCTCAACCGTCCCTCCGTCATCTCCGACGCCGCCATCGGGCGTTTGCCGCAAGTGGAGACCAACGTGGACCTCGACCTCCCGTCATCTCTCCAAGAAACCATCAGGGCCGTGCAGCAGCTCTCTTGCGGGAAAGCACCCGGATCGGACGCAATCCCTGCTGAGGTCTACAAGCAAGGAGGTCCCCAACTGATGGATCACCTGACTGCGCTCTTCCAGGAGATGTGGCGTCAAGGTGAATTCCCGCAATATTTCAGAGACGCAACAATCGTGCACCTGTACAATCGAAAAGGGAACCGCCAAATCTGCGACAATTACCGTGGCATCTCCTTGCTGAACATCGTCGGGAAGATATTCGATCGCATCCTTCTCAACCGCCTCATCGTGGGACCACGGATATGATTTTTGCCGCCCGCCAACTACAGGAGAACTGCCAGGAGATGCGGACCCACCTGTACTCTACCTTCGTGGACCTGACGAAAGCCTTCGACACGGTGAATCGTGAAGGACTGTGGAAGAGCATGCAGAAATTCGGCTGTCCGGAGCGATTCATTCAGATGGTACGTCAACTGCACGACGGTATGATGGCGCGAGTCACGGACAATGGAGCTGTCTCAGAGGCATTTGCAGTGACCAACGGAGTAAAGCAGGGATGCGTGGTGGCGCCTACCCTCTTCAGTCTTATGTTCTCTGCCATGCTGATGGACGCCTACCGCGACGAGCACCCCGGGATCCGCATCGCCTACAGGACGGACGGTCACCACCTGAATCAACGGCGGATGCACTTCCAATCGCACGTATCCACAACCACCGTTCACGAGTTTCTCTTCACCGACGACTGCGCCCTGAACACCACCTCGGACGAGGAGATGCAACGGAGCATGGACCTGTTCTCCGCGCCTGCGAGAACTTTGGGCTGGTCATCAACACGTAGAAGATGGTGGTGATGCATCAAACGCCACCCAACTCAGCCACACCTCTCAACGAACCGCAAATCAGTGTGAATGGGACCCACCTGCAAGTGGTGGAGAACTTCCCGTACCTGGACAGTACCCTCTCCCGCAACACCAAGATCGATGACAAAGTCGCCAACAGGATCTCAAAAGCCAGTCAAGCCTTCGGCCGCCTCCAAAGCACAGTTTGGAATCGTCACGGTCTTCAACTGAGCACGAAGCTAAAGATGTATAAGCCCGTCATTCTGCCGACGATGCTGTACGGCGCGGAAACTTGGACGGTGTACACGAGGCAGGCACGTCGTCTGAACCACTTCCACCTCAGTTGTCTTCGTCGCATCCTGAGGCCGAATTGGCAGGATCGAATCCCCGACACTGATGTACTAGAGCGGACGGAAATCCTCAGCATCTACACCATGCTGAGACAAATGCAGCTGCGCTGGAGCGGACACCTGGTGCGCATGGACGACAAGCGACTATCCAAACGACTCTTCTACGGAGACGTCGCGACGGGTTCTCGCCGCCAAGGTGGTCAAATTCGTCGATACAAGGACACTCTGAAGTCCTCCCTGAAGCTACTGCAAATCAACCCGACCAACTGAGAAGAGCTCGCCCGCGATCGTCCGACATAATGGAGGATGGTAAAGACAGGCGCTGCGATCTACGAAGCCAACCGCATCGCTGCCGCCAAGGCGAAGCGCGAAGCCCGCAAATCACAACTCCGCCCAGTACGCAACGCCGCCGCGCAATTGCTTCCAACGTATCCTCGATGCCAACGAACATTCCCGGCTCGAATCGGACTTGTTGGACATCTACGGATCAACTGCGTCCCTCGAACTGCACCAACCATCGTCCCCCCGCCCGCCTCTTCCTCGTTCTCTCTGCCGTCAACTACCTCTGACTACTCCACTGCCCCACCACCACTAACCTCCTCCTCATCTACATCCTCCTCCTCCTCCTCCTCCT